CCCTAGTATGGTAGCTTCAATTTAAGTCCCCGAAAAAATTGACCCAGGATTGGATGGTCGAGGGGTTTGGGCTGTGGGATTGTATGGGTTAAGGTGCTTCGGGTTTGGGACCTAGGACTTCGGGTTTCGGGGTTTTGCGTTTGGGGCTTTAGGGTTTAGGGTTTGGGGTTTAGGGTTTAGGGTTTTAGGGTTTAGGGTTTAGGGTTTAGGGTTTAGGGTTAGGGCACAGGACTTTCCAGCACACATGGCCCTCAGCAGTGGCTTTATTTGGGCTTCAGGCCCTGTCCTCTTGCTGGCCCTCAGCAGTGCCCTTCTTCTCTTTTCTTGCTGAGGTCTTCTACTTGTTGAAGTAAACAATACCAGGAGAAAGGGCATGAAGGTTTTGAAGCTCCATTTCCTAAGCTCTTGTTCAAGGATAGCAGGGCAGGCTCCAACCTAAGCGCAAACCCGTTGACGTTCAGCGTTTCGGCTTTACTGGGTTTAGATTTTTGCTGGCTTTATATGGATGAGGGCCACATATTAGGGTGCCTTTGCGAGTTTGGGCCTTTTTTGTTTGTGGGGCGTGGAGTCAAAGCCTGGGCATGGTGCATCTTAGATAGCCAGTGGGAGAACTTTGATCTTGTTTGGCCTTACATATTAGGTCTATCCTAAAAAGATTGAACTTTTTTGGGTCTGTGTGTTGCAGAGAGGGAGGCATAGACCTATTTCATGCACAGCCATTTCGGCTTACACACGTTGTAAACCTTAAGCATTGCACCTGGCATGGGCCTTAGCTGCAAAGTTCCGGCAGCTGACCCTAGAAGCACAAGAACAGCTGCCGAGACAGCCGGCTATTGTCTATGGACCATAATTGCATCCGTAGTGTCGTCACGTACTATCGGTAAAAATTGGGCGAGGGATCCCGAAGTAAACACTTTCGACTTGAGTCCTCAGACAGGTTCTACCTTGACTCCAAATAACCTACATTTTGAGGGACTTATGTAAAGAAATCATATTAAGGAACCCTAAAAAAGGTAGGTTCTTTAGGGTCCAGGTAGGGTTCTTGTTCAGGGCCCTGGACTAGTTGCAGCAACAACGATACCCTGATACTGATGATACTGTTGATGATATAAATCCTGCATTACCTTAAGGCCCTTAAAGTATGGGAATTATGGTCTATTCCTGGAGTCCTTATTATGGGTAATGCTGGTTTTATATCATCAACCGTAAGAACAGTTCGGATCCTATCTAAACTCTAAACCCTCTTCTGGGGCTTCACACTCGGCTTGTCCGAAATCAGCGACACTGCAGCCGCTTTTTGCGCTGGTTTTGAAGGGCCAGGAAGAAGCTGCCCGGCTTCTTGGAGTCGTAATTCTTGAACTCGAAGCCAAAAAAGCCGCTGAACCTTAAGCCGTAAACCCTACAGCCCGAACCCTACACCCTGACAAGATGAATCTCTCACGAAATCCTAGACTAGGTATCGATGTGGGATAGCTTGTAATTTCCCCTTATTGTTTACCTGTTGACATCGACACTGTAAACCCTAAACTCTACAATCCTAAACCCCTAAAGCACCGAACCCCTAAGCTTCCTAAACCCTAGGACCCTATGAACCCCAAACCCTACACTCCTAATCCCATAAACTAGGTTCCCCAGTAATACCCTTTTGCCCTTTTTCTTTTTGGGGGTTCCCTTCTTAAAACCAAATAATAGAAACAAGGGTGCCCTTATTGTTCAAGGGGCCACTGGGAAACCTAGTAAACCCTTCAAACCCTCAAGCGCTAAATCCTGAACTCTAGAAGTCTCAACCGGGCCGGGTTTAGACGGGTTTGGATCTCAGATTTTGGGGTTCGGAGTGCAGAGAACAGGTGGGTCGGCCAATCTCTGTCAAGACCATACGTCTACATCACATCGTGCCTATTACATATAATACACGTAGCACATATAGATGTAGATATGTATATATATATATATATTTATATTTATATATATATATACAGTACACACGTACTATAATCTATAATATATATATATATATATGCTCCTAAGGGTGACGCTTTCTGTATGCGTGTGTGTGTGTATATATATATATACATACACACGTAGCTGTTCATGTATTTGCTTATTTCGTTAATTCGTTCGTTGGTTAGTTATTTCATGGCTATGTATGTAGACACTGATACATAGACAGACAGATAGAAACGGACAGATAGACAGACAGACAGACGCATAGAAAGCTCCAGCCCCGCACAGCCCCTCGGAAAACGTCATGTGTTGCACAACAAGGTTACGGTCCTGAAACGTAGGTCGTGTTTCCATCAGGGGTGTCTAGACTAGGTGTTGTCTTGCACAACACTGCAGCTGCGACTGGGTTGGCCGTATCTTGTGGCTTAAACTCCAACCCCTAAACCCCAACCCCTAAACCCCAACCCCTAAACCCTAAACCCCAAACCCTCAACCCTAAACCGATGAAGCCTGGAGCGCCACCAAGTATCGAAGCCTCATGGTCGGCGTCTACTCGTCTACGGTTTAGGGTTCAGGGTTTAGGGGTTTAGGGTTTGGGGGGCAAGTTCGAGGCCGGAAGGGAACCCAACGACTCTTACTTTTGCCGTAGAGTTACCTAATGGAAACCCTTTCCAGGCCGAGCCAAACAAGAGTATACATGCACATGGACCCTTTTCAACCGAAAGGCAAGTCCTATTCAGCCTTAATTGACCAAAGTTATACTTGGACCCTAGAAAAACATGGGGGCCTCCGGAAAGCTGCAAGGTTATTCTGGACCCTAAACCCTAAACTCGAAACCCTAAACCCCCAACTCAAGGTTATTCTGGACCGACTTGGTGCCACGCTGCGTGATGGAACGAGGCCGTGACATGGCGCGTTGGCTTCTGCGCTGTAGGATTAGATCTAGGTTTCCCAGTAGGACCCTTTTGCCCTTTTTCTTTTTGGGTTCCCTTATTAAAACCAAATAGTAGGAAAAAGGGCACCCTTATTTCTAAGGGGCTACTGGGAAACCAAGAGATACTTGCAGGGTCATGGATGGCCCTCCTTAGTAATAATCAACAATACGTAGGTACACTAAGGTTATACATACTTCGTACTTCCATTGGGGCTGTAAGTAACCATAAGTATACTTCACTTATTGCTAGCCCTAGTTTCTACGTCCCATGAGGCTTGAAGTAAAGAGCAGCTCCCCCTGTTGTGGGCGAGCCTTTACGGGGCCTTTCTACTAGCGGCCCGATGCTTTTCAACCTTGCAGTCCCCATATTCCGCAAAGCACTTAGAGGCCCAGGGGACTTCGTAAGTCGATGATAGGTAGGGTTGAAATTGCATTTAGGGTAACTCCATTTAGGGCGCTTATCACTCTACCTATGGCCTACTTAGTAATTAAGTCCCCTGGGCCTCTGAGTATACCTTCATATACAGCCCAAAGCCACCCATTCGAAGTACTAGGAACCCCCTACCACAACCATCCTCCTATAGTCCCCGTATTTCGTAAGCTTATGTCGCCAAATGACTGCTAGGCGAAAGTAGGTCCAAACCCTTCTATCCCGGCAGTATGCACCCCCTACACGCTAAACCCTGAATCCTGAAACCCTATACGCTAAACCCTAAACCCTGAACCCTGAAACCCTAAACGCTAAACCCTAAACCCTGAACCCTATTCCGAAGCTTTAACTCCCAGACCCTCTTGGCTGCTGCAGGATCCCATGCACCGTGACAGCGTTTCCGACTCGGTTGATGAGCACTTGCTGCAGAGATGCAGGCGGGGGACTGGGCTCTTGTTAAGGAGCTGAATTTTTAAGTTACCCTAATGGGGGTGTAAAGCAAATAATGTGGTTTTCTTCAGCAGGAAGTCTACAAATAGTACCTACGCTGTGCTATTTGGAGGGTAGAGCTTATTGTGGCTTATGGGTTGATGTTCGTTTGGGGCGATGTTTGCTTGGGGTGTTTGGCACCTTCGCCATAGCTGGTGTCGGGGATCCCGGATGTATGCTTGAGACAAACCTCAAAGCCAAAGCAAACCCGGCAAGCTCTGCATACTACGACGCCCAACAAGGGCTTACTTAACCCTTATATGGGAGTTTCCGAGAAAAGAAGGGGTACCTTATGTTGGGATCCTTATAGTAAGGATTCTACTATTTAGGGTACTATATTAGGGCCCCCTATTTTCGCAAACCCCCATATAGACTCCAAGAGTTAGAGAGAGCCCTCAAGCGCTGGTGTGTCAGACCATGTCAAGACAAGCCCGAGCCGCACAGACGCTGAAAGTGCATATCCAGAGCTACGTAAGGTTTAGGGTATTGGGGCTAGTACGGTTGTTAGAGTACAGGGCTTTGTAGGGTTTCTTGGGTTATTTTGGTCTCAGCCAAACACCTGCAGCATCATACTGCGACCAGTTAGCTGCTTATGAAGAACTGCCCTGCCCCTCAACCCTAAATCTAGGACATTTTCAGGTGGGTAGTTACGCTTATAGGAGCCTTATAGAAGGTCTATATACCTTATAGAAGCCTCATAGAAGCCTTATATACCCTAAACTCCCCCCCTGTAGTTTCCTTTAACTAAACCCTCTAAACCCCAAGCACCTTGGCCTTCCAGTTGCCAATTGCTGTAGCAAGGGCAAGGGGATAATCAGCCCTCTGTTCCTTGAGACATGGTTTCTAGACGCACCCGATTCGTTACGGCCCTGAGCTCCAAGAGCGAAATGTCGCTACCGTCCGGTAAGTAGTCTCTCTCCTTTTCGTTTCAGGGACTATAGTGGTCACTATTCTTCTCTTGCATGATGACGTGTAATTAATGGAAGGAGGTCACTTGCTTCAAGCCACATTCATGATCTTGTGTTCTCCAGACATGCAGCATGCAGGGTCTTCATGAGGTAGTAGCCCGAAACCCGAAACCCTAAGCCCTAAACCCTAAACCTTAAGCCCTAACCCCTAAACCCCTAAACCCTAAACCCAGCCCACATGGCGCAACACGACTGGCGGCAGTGTGGCCTCCGCGCGTTGAGGAAGCATGGGCCCATGAGCTGGAACGAGTTCACGAAGAGGGTTGGCAAAAACGCCAAGGCCCCTAAGAAGCTCAGGAGGTTTAGTTCGCCACTATTAGACGATTTGGGGCCTTTTACTTTTTTTGGTGGAGATGTGGAGATTTCGTATTCCTTTAAGACATACCTGTTCTTTCCGTGAGTCCTGGGGTAAGGAAGGAAGATGTCCAACAACTTGAGGAGATCCAGCTATTGGATTATGGATATCTGCGGCTCTCAGTGGAAATCCATCTGGCGGAGACTGCTTGGGTGGGTGCAGTTGTGAAGAGGCTTCAGCGTCAGGATGGCTTGAAGTGGCATGAGATTCAGGTCGGTTTCAATGAGCTTACCAAGAAGAAGGTTGCATGTCTACCAGAGCTTTTCCGGTTTGACAAAGCCAAGCATCACGTGTTTTTCGTGGGGTCTCAAGGCGCAGCTGCCAATGGTGATGACTACGCCATCCATGATGCGAGGCCATGCGATGAAGGCGAAGAGGAGGACGACAGCGTTCAGGATCAAAAGAAGGAGCCGGAGGAGGGAGAACAGAGCAATCTGTGGGAGTCTAGGGACCGTTCCCGACAAGCTTGGGTTCGCTGGGTTGCTTCAGATCGTGGGCAGGCAGGCTTTCGCAAAAAGCTCATGAAGTCAAATGCAAACTCGCCGAAGGCGGACATCCTGCAGTGGCTTTGGGTCGAAACCCACCCACCCGGCATGTGGAACTCCTTGAGAAAAGCTGCGCAGACACGGGACTGGAAGAAGTTTGGACAAATCATCCGTAAAGAGTGGGTGGACAGAGGGGGTGACGAGAAGACTTGCCATTGCCTCCAGGGCAGCCAGCACTGTATGCAAATCTGGCGGGGAATAGCCGAAGGCTACTAGCGGTGCCGTGCATCAAAAAGCATGCCGGTGTATGTGCATGTAAACATATCAAAATATGAACGCGCACAGACCGAGACTATTATCATTAGTCAATATTCTGCAGTCTTCCCGTTTGTGTGGGAGTTCGTCGTGGCTCCCTGCAATCAATGCTTCCGGGACGAGGGACTTTGCGCATTGAGGCCAGGGGTTTAGGGTTTAAGGTTTAGGGTCAGGGTTCGGTATTGGAGCTGATTCCCCAATCCCTAGACTAAAGCCGAAAGCCTACACATCAAAGCAGCCTCCGATACACTAACTGTCAGGGCGCCCCACGATGCTTGAAGTAATACTTGCCAAAAGCGTGGACCTGCGTGTTTTGCACTTGGACGCCTACCGCAAAATCAATCTCGACCCCAAAACATGCCCTGAACCCAAAGCCCAAATACCCAACTCCTATGTCCGAGACCCCAAGCAGTAATTCCTGCATCCGACACCTTAAACCCTAAACATTGCAAGCAGAACATGGGTGTTTTCAGTCAGTGTCTGACCTTAAGTTTTCACATAGACACACATTAGTTGGATCCTTTGTTTCGAAACCTGCAGTTCCTCGAAGACTCTAAGAAATACAAGAAGATCCCTGTCATCGCCTTACATTAACGCCATTATGCCTTGTCATGAATAAAATTACTCTTCTAATTACAGTTAGTACTACTACGACTATATTATTAGTACTAATGCTATTATTATTATTATCATTATTATTATTACCATTATTAGTACTATGATTGTTACGACTATTTCTATTATTATTATTAGTATTATTATTATTGCCATCATTAATATTGCTAGCTGAACATAAGCCTGAACAAGTGCACACCTTCTCGTCGGCCCCAAGCTTGGAATATATTTGCACAGACTAAGACAGACCGTATTTTGCCCTGATAGACATGACACGCGTTTAGGGTTTAGGGTTTAGGGTTTAGGGTAGAGAGCAAACACCCTAGCAAGCCTACGTATGTAAAAAACCTTACATAACCCATGTAAAGGTCCTGTGGGGCCTCTGGTTCTTTTAACGTATCACTCTGTCAGAACAGAAGGGGCTGTCCCGGGGGCCAGGGTTTCTGTAAAGTTCTACGAAACCTTTCGACAGCCCTTGCACATTCCAACCCTATGCCCTATACATATACACCCTACACCCTAGACCCTACAGACCCTAAGCCCTAAACCCTATACCCTAAACCCTACGGACCCTAAACCCTCTCTGCGAGGTGGTTGGCGGCTGCTTTCGGCTTTGGCCAAGGCTGCTGTGCAGTGACCTCGGGTCCAGGCTGTGTCTTTAAGGTAGGGGTTTAGGGTTTAGGGCTTAGGGTTTAGGGTTTAGGGCTTAGGGTTTAGGGTTTAGGGTTTAGGGTTAAGGTGTTTCTTCAAGGGCTCCTTTAAGGATTCCTTGGCGTTCGCGGTTCAGGATCGCATGCCAAACCTTTCCAGGTCTGGATTCAATTGCTTGGGGTCGCCGTTGTATGCCTCAAGGTTGTCAAGTTTTTTCGTTTCATCGAACCGTTTAGGGTTTAGGGCCTCTGTTTTAGCGAGGGTTCAGGCCAAAGCTGGAATCTACTGTTTGGTGTCTTCGGGGTATAGCGCAACAACATGCACCTGGTGGTCACCGGGACGCTTCGACTTAGTCCCGTCCACAACCCCATAATCTTAAAGCCATGTAAACCGTAAGCCCTGAGCCCTAAACCCTGAAACCCAACACCTTGACGCCTAGACCATCAACAACCGAAATCCTCAAGACCGCTCTAAATCTTTAAAAACTGTGAACCCCAAAACCTGAGTCTTTCTTTGACCTTGCAGTGATGGCCTTCAAGCGGCGGGCTACCCCTTGCATTGGGCTCTCTACGTTAAGGTCACCACCTCCGTTATAAGGCTTGGGATCTAAGTTCTTTGACCCTTGGGCCCAGCCCAAGGGTCCACGCAACAGCATAGTATAGGGGTAGTTCTCTAAATTAGGGTCCCTGTAAGTTAGGGCCCTTTTTTTTATAAAGGGTGCCGTGCTGTTTTGGGGACCCAAACCAGGGACCCTAATTTAGAGAATGACCCCTTTTACGGAAACTCCATGCCGGCTCTGTCGGTGAGCTTTAGGAACTTCAAGGTCGCAGTAAACTCCCTGGTTTTGGGACTTAGGGCTTTAGGGTTTTAGCGTTTAGGGTTTTAGGGTGTAGGGTTCTAGTCTTCAGGGTTTAGGGTTTTAGGGTTTAGGGTTTAGGGTTCTAGTCTTCAGGGTTTAGGGTTTAGGGTTCTAGTCTTCAGGGTTTAGGGTTTTAGGGTTTAGGGTTTAGGGTTCTAGTCTTCAGAGTTTAGGGTTTAGGGTTTAGGCTCTTAGTAGGGACTGGGGGAATGGATCCCTATAAGAGCCCCCTTAAGGTCCCCTTATGGTAGTCCCAATAACCCATTCCCCCAGTCCCTACTAAGAACCAACACTAGAACCCTAAACCCTAAAACCCTAAACCCTGAACACTAGAACCCTAAACCCTAAAACCCTGAACACTAGAACCCTAAACCCTAAAGCCTTAGACCCTAAACACTAAAATACCCCCTAAAGCCCGAAGTCCCAAAAACCCAAGCCAAATCGACCATGGCACCCATCAACCGGGCCAAGCATCAGGTCCGGGTCAGCAGGCGCAAGGATCCCAAATGAAATGGGATCACCGCTGTCCCAGAGACCCCAAAACCCCTTAATGAAGGAATATACTTTGAATCATATCAGGGTTCCTACTATAGTTTAAGGTAAATTAAGGGGTTTTGGAGTGTTTGGGGTGCCCGGTGCTGTGCGAGATGGCACTAGAAGAGATCCGGTGCGGCACCTTCACCCAGACGATGTGCTCAATGATTTCCCCTAAACCCTACACCCTAAGCCCCTAAACCCTAGAACCCCCAAACCCCTAAACCCTACACCCTAAGCCGTGTTTTGGGTTTAGGGTTTAAGGGTTTTGGGGCACGTCCACAACCGCTTGTGGCTCGGCGAAACCACGGCAAACCACGGCACTCAGAGCTGCCGGCAGGTCCAGGGTTGTACTACCGAAAGGAAGGGGTTTAGGGTTTAGGGTTAGGGGTTTTAGGGGTGTTAGGGTTTTAGGGGTTTAGGGTTTAGGGATATTGCTCCGAGAGGTCGCTGTGTAATTCTGGTATAGGAAGGTGTACCCCTAAACCCTCTATCAAGCTCTTATCGATAAGTTTTTATTCTTAACTAGATGCCCCAGTAGTACTCTTTTGCCCTTTTTAGTTTGGGGTCCCCTTATTAAAACCGAATATTAAGAAAAAGGGTACCCTTATTATTAAGGGGTTACTGGGGCACCTAGTTAAAGAAACCCTGGCAGGAAGCTACAAAACCACATGGTGCACCGACCTGCACCAAGGTCAACGTCTACTTGTCCGCTGCGGGCTACTTGGGCGATCGCTTCCAGGACAAGTACTTTTTTGTCTGGCGGGGCCCTCAGCTTAGCAGCTGAATTTCTACAACTTTAAGCTTTTTGGGATAGTATGATCTCTTATAGAACTGAAATTGTGCACTTTTTTGTGCTTCTGAACTCAGCAACCAGGGCAGGAAACGAAAGTTCCAGGGTCTGGAGCTGATGCTCCGTAGCTCATATGGGTAGTTCTCTAAATCAAGGACCCTGTTAGTTGGGGCCCTTGGTATAAGGGTGCCGTAGTATTGCTGGGCACCTAAAAAGGGACCCTAATGTAGAGATCTACCCATATGGATTTTTGTTACTGTTGACGGGGTTTGGGACTGATCCATTAAGTATCATGGTTGTGGTGGTTGTGGTAGTATTGAAAATGAGGTGTTGCGCTCCTTTATAGGGTGATTATAATGATAGGAACCCCAAGGAATCATGCTGTCAATCACTCAGGCCCCTCTACGGTTGATGATATAAATCCTGCATTACCCATCAGAAGGAAGATGCAATCATTCCCATAGCTTAGGGTCCTTAAGGTAGTGCAGGATTCATATCATCAACCGTAGTTGAGGCTGTGGCGCTTCTGTAGGCTGAGTAGCCTTGCGCGCCAAGCTCGACGTCAACGTTCGTTATCTAGTCCAGAACCCTAAACCCCTAAAACCTGCTCCGTTACCCTGAACTGTAAACCCCTAAACCCTCGAAAGCCCAGGGTGTTGGCTTCGGGGTTCGGCTATTTGGACCACCTTCGGCCCGAAGCCATGTGCCCGGAGACTCCAAACCCCTTAATTCAGGAATCTCCTTCAAATCATATTCGGGTTCCTACTGAAATGTACAGGGTAATACCCAGCTATATCATGGAACATACCTTGATGAAATCTTTGTAACAATATCATACCCCCCTAGAATATCCTCCCCAATTGCAAGCGCTCAACCATCCCAGAAGCCTTAATACAGAAGCCTAAATTTTACCAATACTATTCCTTAGGGTTCCTGATTCTAAGTATACTAATAAAGGGCCTAAAACCCTAATCTAACTGTTATAAGGCCCCTACATTAAACCTCAAAAGGCTAAGAGCTACAGCTTGAACCCCTACATCCCCCTATATAGTAATCCTAAACCCTAAACCCCTAAACCCCAAACCCTAAACCCCTAAAACCCCAAACCCCAAACCCTAAGCTCCTAAACCCTAAGCCGTGGCCTATATAAGGATGTGTGCCGTGGTCTACGTGGTGCCTTTGCTTGTCTTTGCACTCGCCCGAGCGCCGAGCCGACCTGCATTTCTTCCGGCGGTTTCTGGGGAGCTTTCATTTAGGTTTTAGGGGTTTAGAGGGGTTCTAGGGTTTAGGGGTATTTGGGGTTTAGGGTTTTGTAGGGTGTATAGGGTTTATAGGGTTTAGAGGTATTTGGGCTTTAGGGTTTGGGTTTAGGGTTTTGGGGTTTTAGGGGTTCAGGGTTTAGGGTTTAGGGGTTTAGGGCTCAAAGGTTTTAGGGGTTCAGGGTGTAGGGTTTAGGGGTTTAGGGGTTAGGGGTATTTATTTATTTGGGCTTTTGCCTTGCAGCGTGGG